TGGATTTTGGGCCCTTGTCAAAGATCAGGTGACCGTAGGTGGATGGATTTACATCTGGGTTGTCAATTCTGTTCCATTGGTCAATGTATCTGTCGGTGTCCCAGTACCAGGCTGTTTTGACTACTGTAGCTGCATAGTAGGTTCTGAAATCAGGGAGTGACAAGCACTATCTTGCTGAGTCTTCACAGCAGCCCCGTGAACTGACTGTGCAGACGAGGAAGCTGGGGCTCAGAGGGGTGACCTGCTCAGCTAGTACCCAGGTCTGTCTAACTCTGATGCCCATGACCATGAGACGGTGGGGTCTCATAGGTGCCCACTCCCCTTTCCAACCCACCTGCAGCCCCCTCCCTAGGAACTGGAGCAGAGGAAACAGACAGGATGGGGGCACTTGTAAGTCACCCTGCAGCTCTCTCTCAACCCGACCCATGTTACAGCCAGCCCATAGGGGAGCCTCAAAGAGAATGGAGGGGGCGAACAGCCCACCCACACCAGATACTCAAAGGGATGGGGGGCATGGAGCTAACTTGAGGGTGGCCTCTAGACCCATCATTTACTCAAGACCCTGGGCGTAACTATCGTGTGCTGGGAGCCCCAGGGACACCCCAGCCCAGGGCTTATTCATGGTAGAGATGGGCGCCAGGGACCTGTGGTGTGTGTGATGGGCAAGTGTCTTGCCAGGCAGCCAGCAGCCCCTCAGTGAGGTCTGCACGGTCACACTGCACAGAGCCCCTGCACCTGTTGGACCCGGCCACTGCTGGACCCATCCGTGCCCAGCACCATCCTACTGAGCGAGGAAGACACCAGGCAGCCAGGCCGCCATGCACAAGGTGTAGAAGGAAGCAAGGAAGTAGGCCCAGGGGGCTGCCGAGTAGGCCCTTGTAGCTACACAGAGGACTTGCACAGAAGAAAAAAGGGAAAGTAGGTGGGGGCCAGGCTATGGAGACATAGATTACTGGGAGCTATGGGGAGTATCTGAGCAGGGCAGCTCCCTGAGCAAAGCAATGCTTGGGGTGGGGGAGCCTGGAAACCACCCCACACACAGCCGTGCATACGGAACAGTCCAGGGGCCACGCTGTGGACTGCACGCTCCCTCTGTAGCTGAGACCAAGCAGTCCCTTGCCCTCCCCCACTTGGGCCCACCAGCACCTAAGATACTTGCAACGCTGCCTCCTAACAGCATGTCGGTGATGACCGAGGGCACCACCTGCCTGTGCAGCGTCAGCGCCACGCTCGAGGACTTGAACCCCTTGGTCTCGAAGGCGAAGTGGATCACGTCCCTGGGGAAGGACAGAGCCAGGCAAGGCTGGTGCCCTCCTGCCGCTCACCGCGCTGGCCCTCGGCCTTGGGCTCAGGGGCTCACGGGCCGCAGGACAGGCCTTTCTTCTAGGGTCCTTGCAACCACGCCAGTGCAGCGGCTGGCGGCCCAGCAATCCCACCCCAGCAGCTCCGCTGTGGAGTCGGGGCCCTCGCTCCCCACAAACACACACAAAAAAGCCCATTTTGCAACTGTGTTTCTGTAAAGACCAGTATAGGCCAGGCTGCATTCCTTACTATGTGTTCATTTTTTTCTGATTTTAAAATAAATTAAAATGAAAATGCTTCCCAGGACCCTCAGAGTGCTGCAGGCCCTTGGCCTGGCCTCCTGTGACTCGTGCGAGGTCAGCCCTGCTTGCCGGGTGCAAAGAGGCACCTTTAAGACGACGGGGCTGCACAGGTGTGACAGCAACATGGGAAAAGCCCACCATCCACGGTGAGTCAGCTTTGTGGTGGCTAGGGACGAAGTGGTTGTGTGTGCGTGTCTGTGTGTGTGCATGCATGTGTGTATGTATGTGTGTGTGCACGCATGTGTGTGCATATGAGTGTATGTGTATGCATGTGTGTGCATACACATGTGGGTGTGGGCGTGTGTGTGTACATGTACATGCACATGCACGTATGTGGGTGCATGTGCACAGGCATGTATGTATGCATGATGTGTACACGTGTGCCTGTGTGTACGCATGTGTGCGTGCGTGTTTACATGTACATGCACTGTGCATGGGGGTGTGTGTGTGCGTGCACACGTCTATATGTGTGCGTGTGTGTGCATGTGTGCACAAATGTGTTTACATGTGTGTGCGGGTGGGTGTGTGCACATACACATGTGCATGCCCATGTGTGTACGCATGTGTGTGCGTTTGTATGAGTGTACGTGTTTAGGTGTTTATGCATGTGTGCGTGCACATGTCTGTGCATACGCATGTGTGCGTGTGTGCTCATGTGTATGTGTTTACATGTGCACGGGTGTGTGCATGCATGTGCCTGTGTGTGGGCGTGCGTGTGCCTGTGCGAAGGCGGGAGATGCGGAAGGAGGCACTGAGTTCACCTCACTGTGAGCCTCTCCTCGGGGTTGACGTGGAGCATCCTCGGCAGAAGGAAAAGCAGCGTGTCTGCATCGGGGACCTTCCTGGACTCCATCTTCCTCAGTACGCCCTGCAAGCTGTTCGGAAGCACGCGGAGAGACTTCCGCAGAAGCATGGCTTCTGTGTTCTAACAGAGAGGGGAGACAGAGGACCCTCACCGTGGGTCCAGGGCTGTGCTGGGGGCAGGAAGCCATCAAGGGGGACAGCAGCTGAGCCAGGCAGCCTGGGGCCACACGGGCCGGACCACATGTGTGGGGAGACGGAGGGTCAGAGACAGCGGCGAGCAGCCGTCTTCACGGGGGGAGGGGGTTGAAGGTCTGCTCACTAATCCTGACCCCTGCTCATTTAACAGAAGGTGAAACCAAGGCTTGGGGCAGCAGAGTGCCATGCGCAAAGTCACATCTAGTCAGGGCTGGGGTGGGGCCCAGGGCGCTCTGAGCTGGAGCCCTCACTCTTTCCAGTCTGTCACACAGCCCCCAAAGAGCGAAGGACCCTGGCTTCCCTGCAGGTCTTCAGAAAGAGGGGAGCAGTGAGGGGCTTCACCGAGGCCGAGCCGTGTTTCAGTATGACTACTGTTGCGGTCACTATGCGCTAGACCCCGGCAGAGCTGTGCCGAGGGCGCCCCACCCCCCAGCAGCTGGGGGTAGAGGAGAGCACCCCAAGGCGCCCCGAGGGGGACGAGGATGCAGGCAGGAAGCAGGATGAGGGCAGCCCCCTGTGCCCCTCCCTGGCTGGGAGAAGCTCGCCCCCTGCAGGCTGCGGCGGGCAGGGCAGCTCCCGGGGTCTGGGGCAGGGCAGGGGCAGCTCACCTCCACAAAGGAGCAGCTGGCCATGTCGAGAAGGATGCAGCCCAGGGACCAGATGTCGGATTTCTGGCTGAAGGAGAAGTTGAGGGCTTCAGGGGCCATCCAGGACTTCCGGAAGGGGTCTGTTGGCAGGAGCGGGGTGGGGGCAGAACAGCAATGAGGTCTGCGGGGAAGCTCTCTCCATCCTGACCACTGTTAGAGGCCTGAAGCCAGCCCCCTTGGCCCTGTCATCTTTTCAATGGGAAGAGGACTCATCTCCCCTTGCCCTCCACCCCTACCATCTCCTGGAGATTCTAGGACCCAGGAAAGTCATCTACCGCCAGCCAGGGCCTGGCGTCCAGTGGGCCCTCGGTGAGCCCGGATTAGTTTCCTGTCTTCCTCCGCAAGGGTTAACGTTTGGGGAATCCCACAGCCATTACTCTGTTTCTGGGAGCTCTTACAATGTTGGGTATCTTCTGAACCCTACGTCCAGCCCCCACGGAGGCACTCCTGCTCAGTTACAATCAGACAAGGGGGTCTCGGGAGTCCACCCAAGCCCAGGATCTAGAGGGACTTTCTGAATAGAGAGAGGTATGGTGTTGCCTTGTCCCAGCCCCCAGAGTGGGCACCGTCCCTCCTCCGCCCGCTGGTCGCCTATACCCTCCCCCCCACCCCACTCCACTGCCTGGGCCACCCTCAGCCACCTTCCTCTGCCCGGATTTTCCATTTGGCCTGGTCGGTCATCAGCGTGTTGGAGCTCAGGTCCTGCAGTCTGCAGTGGTTGCTGTCGACCAGGACGATGTTGGAGGGCTTGAGGTTCCTGAAACCGAGAGGTGGGGACCCTCCTCTGGGTGCCCACGGGCATGCCTTTCCCGCCACACCTGGGGCTGCCTTGGGTGGCTGCTCGGTGGGGCAGGGGACCAGCTGGCCTCAGGAGAACGAGAGGTGGGGAGGTGGCTGGGCCCACGTGTGCCCGAGGACCTACTCCCTGCCTCCGCCCACCCAGGACTGCGGGAGCGGCCCCACCCCTCTCCTCTCCTCAGTAAAATGTCTCCTTCTCAGTCCACCTTTAAAATAATGGTTTCCTCTAAATAGAAAATATGCTCAGTTATTTTCCGTTGGGAAAAAGAAACTGCAAGTCGGAAAACACCCATCCCCGAGGTTCCTCTGTTAACAGCTGGTTCACCTCCTCCTGGGTCTTTACCGCGTGTCTGTGTTTGTTTGGGGGCGGGGCTTAGATCATTTCTTTAAATGTCCAAGGACATCAGCATTGAATCCTGAACGGTTCTCTGTACATACGTCCCCATGGTTTTCCTCTCCTCCTCTCACCAAGATACTGATGCTCAAATGTGAAATCACCTCCCCAGGCCTCTTTCTCCCTGCCCCGCCTGCCCCCTGGCAGACCAAGGCTTCTGGCGCCTCCAGCCTATCCTGGCAGGTGGGCAGCTCAGGTGGGGGTGCTGCCCACGCTGGCTGTCCAGAGGCCACAGAGGCAGCGTCATCTCCCCCTGCAGCGCAGTGGTCTGCTTTCTTTCCTTTAGAAGAACCTGCCCGTGAGCTCCCACGCCACACAGCTGTGCGCGGTGAGGGCGCATGGGGAATGGCGGTTCCATGGAGGGGGTGTGTGGAAGGGCGCCTCCTTGCACTGGCCGCACTGGCCCCGCGCTCCTCTCCCTAGGTCCTGCCACGGTACTAACACCCGAGGGGACACAGTGCCTGTTCTCCTGCAGCAGCCTGGCCAGTCCCAGGAGGCGGGGCTCCGGTCACCTGTGAATGATGTCCAGCTGGTGCAGGTATTCCAGTGCGTCCAGCACCTGGCCCAGCACGTTCTGCATCCACTGGGGAGGAAGCAGAGGCAGCAGGATTGGAAGGGGCTAAGGAGTCCTGGTGGCGCAACAGTTAAACACTTGGCTGCTAACCAAAAGGTCGGTGGTTCGAACCCACCCAGTGGCTCCCCAGGAGAAAGACCAGGCAATCTGCTCCCATAAAGATTACAACCTAGGAAACCCTATGGGGCAGTCCTACTTCGTCACATGATGGCACCCAACCACAAGAAGGTTCCTGGAGAGCAGCTCCCTGCCTCTGCCATTAGGGGGCACCCCTCACCGCAGCCTGCCGTGGCGGTTGGTCTCAGTGGGCCTGCCCAGAGCGAGGCTGATGCTCGTCCAGAGCTCACACCGGAAAGAGGGCCGGCCTCTCCAGAGGATCTGATTCCCTCAGGCTGGAGTGGCTCTCTAGACAGAGACAGGGACGCTCCCTGGTTTCCAGACCGGGCACTCTTGTCTCATCCTGGGGATCCTGGGGACCCCCTTCCCCCGACCGCTCTGTGGCCCTCGCTGGCCAGCACCTGCCCAGAGCTTGGGGCCGATTGGCCTTGTGGGCATCAGAAATGTTGAAGTCTTCAGCACCTACTTGAGGCTTGTCTCTTAATGGTATCAGAACAAAAAGAGCCCTGAGAATGTTCTGGAAGACTTTTGTGACAGAAACAAGATCCACCTAGTTTCCAGGGCAGTGATTTTCAAACCGTGTTCCTAGGAACCCTGGAGGCCACAGTGGTGCTTCAGAGCCACCCAGGGGTGTCAGAGAGGGGCTCTGTGGGCAGGACCCCAGGCATCCCCTACTCTACCTTCTACCACCTCCCTCCCCCAATTAGAGCACCTCTGCTGGACTGCCTAGGCTTCTAAGGAACATTTTGTTTTTTAAAGGATTCCACTACTAACAGAAGGTTGGAAACCCACTCCAGAGCCTGCCTCTGAGGCCATGGTGGGAGTGGAGCTGTGGGCCCCTCAGAACCCGTCAGAGGGGAACAGTGCCCGAGGCCCACCAAGCAAAGGTGTTGGCAGGGCAAAAGCAGGCAACACTCATTTGGGGGTGAGTCATAGACCTAAATGTGAAAGTGAAAACAGGCAAGCTTCCAGAAGAAAATTGGGGAGAGTAGCTTCATGACCTTGGGGCAGAAAAGCCTTCTTAAGGCAGAACTCAAAAACCACTAACCATAAAAGAAAATACTGATAAATTGGACTTCATTAAAACTAAGAACCTGCATTCATCAAAACACATCATTAAGAAAGTGAATCAGCAAGCCACAGACTGGGAGAAGATGCTCTGCATGCTCGTACCCAGAGTGTATAAAGAACTTTTACAAATCAGTAAGAAAAAGATGAGAACAACTCAATTATTAAAATGGGCAAAAGACTTAAATAGGCATAGAAGAAGATAGCCAAACGGCCAAAAAGTGCTCACCACCATCTTGTCAAGGAAATGCAGATTGAAACCACAATAAAATATCAGTGCCCAGCACCTGAAGAGCTAAATTAAAAAGACTGACGCTGTAAAGTGTTGGCAAAGACGTAGAGCAACTGGAACTCTCATAACTTGTGAAAATAAAAACTGCTTCAACCAAACAACTTTGGAAAACTGTTTGGAATATCTACTAAAGCTAAACAGGTGCCCACTTTACAACTCAACAATTCCACTCCTAGGTATTTATCCAAGAAAAATCGGCGCTTAGAGCTACCAAGAGACATATCCAGCCATGTTCACAGCAGCCTCATTCATAATCACCAGCAATTGGAAATAACCCAAATGCCCGTCAACACTAGAACAGATAAAGAAATTGTGGTATATTTATACGATGGAGTAGTATCTAGCAATGGAAAGGACAATTTACTGATACACAAAACAGCTGGGTGAATTGTAAAAGCATTAGGTTAAATGAAAGATACCAGACGTACAAGACGACGTGGCGTATGATTTCATTTACATGAAGTTCAAAAACAGGCAGGACAAATCTCTAAAGACAAGATGTCTAACAGTGGTTACTCAGGGGTAGGGTGGAGTATTGGCTGGAACCTTCCGGGGTTCTAGGAATGTCTATATCTTGATCTGAGTGAGGTTACTGGGTGTAGGCATCTGTAAGAATGCATCAAGCCGCACACTTAAGATATGCACATGTTGTAGTACACAATAATCAATACATACTTCTAAGGAGAAAGTCAGGTCAGACCCCAGTAGCACCTGCCCTTCCCAATGTCCCTCTGCCCCCAGCTGTGACCCAAGCAACCACAAGGTCCAGGTGGTCACCAGGGCCTGGTGTCCCCAGAGGGCTGTCTTACCTCAGAGTCAATGACTGTCCTCGTCCTCCTGTTCTTCTCAATGATCTCCTGGAAGGTTTCCTTACCGTACTCCATCACCAGGCACAGGAACAGAAAGGAGATCTGCGGGGAACATGGAGGCCCTTAGCTGGGGCTGTGGTTCCGGTGGAGGGAAGCCAGGCCTCAGTGCTTCACCTGCCCCAGGGCTTCCCCTCTGCTGAGGAGGACCTCCACTCTCTCCCGTGCTCAGGCTCCACCCCCACTCCAAGCCCCAAGCTCCATGCCCAGGAAGCTACTTGGACTTCTCCAAAGGCTGGGCTGCCTCTGCCGGCCGGCATGGCTCCCTCTGCCTGGGCCCCCCTCACCCTCTCAGTGGGGATAGCTCTACTCATCCTTCAGGGCTTGGATTGGATCCCATTTCCTCTGAGAAGCCCTCCCGGAACCCACCCCAGTAGATTGGGTGAGGGGCTCCAACTCAGGGCTCGAGGGCCCTGAGCACCCTCCGCAATGAAGAGTCCTTGAGAGCACCAGGGGGTGCCCAGAAAATACCCGGGCTCAGTGAGTGCGTGCAGGGAGGTCCCCCAAGGTATTCCAGGGTCCGGTGGAAAGAGAGGGAGCCCTGGTGGTGTAGGGGTTAAGCGCTCAGCTGCTAACAAAAAGGTCTGCGGTTCCAACCCACCAGCAGCTCCGGGGAAAAAGATGTGGCCGTCTGCCTCCGTAAAGATCAAGCCTTGGAAACCCCATGGGGCAGTTCTACTCTGTCCTGTAGGGTCATTATGAGTCAGAATCGACTTCACAGCAATGGGTTTGGTCTGGCGGTGGGTCCCCACGCAGCTTTGTGACCACGGGAGAGCTGCTTACCCTCTCTGAGCCCCGGTGCCCCTCCAGGAAAATGAGGAGTAATTCCTGCACCCAGAGCTCCTAGGGCCTAATGGTGGACGTGATGCTGGTTGTAAACTATACAGGACCCGCAAAAGTAAGGGGTCAGGAGGCCCAGGAAACCCTGGGTGGCAGTGGCCGCAGAAAGCAGGGGAGTTGGCTCCTCGCACCTGCTCCTCCGGCTCCCCATTCAGAGGCGCAGGCCTCTACTCCTTGGGCTGCAGGACAGGGCGTGGCTAAGCGCACCTGGCCGAGCCTCCTGCCTCGCCACTTCCTAGCTGGGTAACCTGGGGGAACACATCGCTCTCACTCTCTGTCTCTCTTTCTGTAATATGGGGACGGTAACCAGCGAGGTCGTAGGGTGTTCACGTGAGATTATGCACAGAAAGCCCACGTGTGCTACCCGGCCCCAGGAAGTGCTGAGTCAGGGGTAGCCTCGTTCGACGTCCCTGCCATGGCCACTCCGTGGTGTTACAATGGCACAGAGGGGGCAGGCTCAGGGCTTAGTCTGCTTGGCCCTGCACGCTGCGAGTAGCTGAGCCTGGAGGAGCCTACCCTGACCCACCTGGCTCTCCCACGTGATGAACAGCTCCTGGTAGATGGAGATGTGGGCATGCTGCAGCTTCAGCAGTGGCATCATCTGAGGGAAGAAAGCAGAGTGAGCAGAGAAGTTCTGGGAGCAACCGCTTCCCCGTCACATAGCCTGACAAAAATGCAAGTGTCCGGCAGGGCAAGGAGTGGGCACAGTGACGCCGTGCAGCCTGGTGGTGAGGAGCCAGACGGTGCTGGCTGTACTGTGTGACTGAGGGCAGAAGGTCAGCCTCTCTGGTGACAGTGGTGTCTGCCCCCCAGGGATTAAGGGAGCCGATGCAGATAAAGTGGCAGGTCCATAGGAAGGAAATCAGCGCACTCAAGTGGGGCTAGAGAAGGGGGTGCGGCCAATGGGAAGCAGGACTACTGGTCTATTCACTGCCCACCTGGCCTCCCGGGTCATGTGGACGGAGGTCGGAGTGCCCCAGAGCTGTAAGTGCTTTGAAAAGCAAAGCAACCAGGCAGCAGGAATAGCTACTTGACATGTTAGACTAGGAGCTGAAGGACAACGCTTATGGTGAGAGATGAGGGGTGGACGCGGGCTGCCAGTGGGCTCTGGGAAGGAGTGAGGAAGAGTGCAAACTGATGGGTGAAGGGACTACGGGTGGTCCGTGAGCCTTCCTCTTCCCTTTGTCAGAATGCTGCCTAGTGGAGGCCCTTCCCCATGCCCCAGCCACACTGCAGACTCAACAGATGCTTGTTGGCAAAGCTCATTAACTGGCAATTTCAGAAAGAAGACAAGAAGCAAAGGACCATTAGCTATAAGGGGTACCTTTAACCTCACGTGAAATTCAAGAAGGGCCAAGAGAAACTACCCAGAGTCGTTTTTGTCTATCAAATTGAAATGCACTCAGCTGTGCTCGCTATTATTGTTAGGATGTTATCATTGGTCATTTCTGAGAGGTAGAATTAAGGGTAATTTAAGTTCTCTTCGTTAAACAATTCTGTATTTTCCAAATTTTCTGCTGTAACTATAATACTTTCATAATTTAAGAAAAAATATTTTCAAAAAATGGTTATTGGTAGGTGTCATGGATTGAATTGTGTCCCCCAAAAATATCTATCAACTTGGCTGGGTCATGATTCCCAGTATTGTATAATTGTGTACCATTTTGTAATCTGATGTGACTTCCTTATGTGTTGTAAATTCAATCACTATGATCTAATAAGATGGATTAGCAGCAGTTATACCGATGAGGTATACAAGATTGGATAGTGTCTTAAGCCAATCTCTTTTGAGACATAAAAGAGAGACGCGAGCAGAGACACATGGAACCTCATAACACCAAGAAAGCAGTGCCGGGAGTAGAGCACATCCTTTGGACCTGAGATCCTGCGCTGAGATGCTCCCAGACCAAGGGAAGACTGATGCATCCATCACAAGGACCTTCCTCCAGAGCTGACAGAGAGAGAAAGCCTTCTGGAGCTGATGCCCTGAATTTAGTTGTAACCTACTCAACTGTGAGAAAATAAATTTTCTCTTTGTTAAAGCCATTCACTTGTGGTATTTCTCTTGCAGCAGCACTAGATGACTAAGACAGTAGGTTAGCCTGGGGACCCAGCCAACATTTAAACTTTGTCTTCTCTGGGAACATGCACTGTAAGTTGTCAGCACCTGGATCTATAAATGAGTGTTTTCGGCATGTTCTTCTTTTGTGATCTGGGGGCTGCTGGCTTCACAAGCATGGGGCAAGAACTCTCACAACCCTCCATCCACCATCCAGGCATCTCTCTACCCAGTCACTTTATAAGAGGTTACAGAACATAGTCTCTGTGTGTTCTGAATCATGATTTCTCCAGAGAGAAAACCATCGAGAGAGTTACCTCCTCCAGGGCCTTGTTTGCCTGATGCTCATCAATGCACCCCACCTGCAGGGGCACAAAAGTACCAGTTCAGTAAGCTGAGTCACCATTACCATCACCATCATCACCACCATCATCATCACCATCACCATCATCATGATCACCACCACCATTATCACCATCACCATCATCACCACCATCACCACCATCACCATCACCATCACCACCATCGCCATCATCACCACCATCACCACCATCACCACCATCACCATCATCACCACCATCACCATCACCATCACCACCATCACCATCACCATCATCACCACCATCATCACTGCCATCTCCACCATCAACACCACCACCACCATCACCACCATCACCTTCATCACCATTTCACCATTATCACCACCACCAACAGCACCACCACCATCTTCACCATCACCCCCACCATCATCACCATCTCCACCATCATCACCACCACTACCATCACTAACACCACCACCATCACCACCACCATCATCATCACTACCACCACCATCATCACCACCACCACCATCATCACCATCATCGTCATCACCATGGAGCAGGAGATGGGTAAGAACTTCGAGCCTGGCCACCTCGGGAACAAGGCTGCTGAGTCGCACAGACAGGCGCCTGGCAGAGCAGAAGATGTCCTGGCTGCTAAGGAGGCTCTCCTACCTACACAGTCAGCCCCAAATCCTGCTGTATCTCTGCCACCACTACAGAGCCACATCGAATGAGGGCACACCAGGGATTGGTTCCCCACCACCTCTCCCACAAACCCTTTTATGACAGCTCTCTTCCCCTAGACATTCTGTTTACCTGGACCAGCCTGTCTTGGACACACAAAGGGGCACCCCTCAGGTCTACATCCCCAACCTGCCTAGCCAGCCCCATGAGGACTGTTGGGGAAGGGCCCAGGCCCAATGTCCTTGCATCTTTCTGGGCCTGGCTCCCCTTTGGTCAAATCGTTGGTGCTGGACTGAGTGGTGTAGGGTCCCTCAGGGAGGTGGCCTAAGTTCAAATGCTTTTGGAGACTGCGTGATCTTGGCTGGTTTGGAGCTCCCCTGAGCTTCACTGTCCTTAGCTGTACAATGGGTCATTGTTCCGGCTCTGCATGGTTGGTGGGAGACTGAATGAGATGGCGCTGCACAAAGCATGTGCTGAATAAATGGTAGGTGTTACTGCTGTTTCACTTAACGATGAGCATTCTTCTCCATCAAGGTGAGATTCCGAGCAGGAGGGGAGGCCCAGAGCCTCAGCCCACCTCACCCTACCCGGGCTGACCATCCCCTTGATTGCTATTGATGGGGGGACCCAGCTGCAGCATCAGGAGGCCTTCCTCCTGCATGGGGTGGCAAGCCCACATTTTGTACCATCGCAGCACAGGAGCCTGCCTGAGTGTTCTGCTCGGCCCTCACCTTCTTTATCACGCGCTTCACTTTGGTGGTCGTTTCCTCCACCACTAGGTTCACCCCCAAGGCCCCGGGCTCCAGCTGGTACAGAATCTACCAGAAAGGGAGAGAGAGGCTTTCAGGAAATGCACACAGCTTTTTACTCTCCTAGGTGCGTCCACTCTTATGTCTTTTCCAACCCATGATGTCCCGTGTTGGGCGGGCTGAGCAAGGGTCTCCTCCCCACTTTGCAGACAAGGGAATGTGGCCTGAGAAGGCCAAGCACCATCAAAGGCAGAGCCATGTCCATCATTTTGGGCAAAGTGGAACCCTTTCCTCCACCCCAAACCCCTTCCCAATCTGCAGGGAAGACCAGCCAGGCATAGAGGAGCCAGCCCTCCCTGGGGCAACTGGGGCAACACACTCCTATGGCCCCAACCTCCAGCACCCACCTCCGATGTGGGCATCCACAGTCAAGTAACTGGCCCCATAAATGGTGAAATCCTACTTACAGCCACCTGTGTGCCCAACATCGTGCCAAGCTCTTTACAGCTGCTACCCTATGGGGTCAGCACCACGGCTATCTCTGTGTTTACACTGGAGGAAACTGAGGCACAGGGAGCCAGGCCCTTGCCTGAGGCTACAGAGTAAGACCACCTGGATTAGACTGGAACTCTGGGGCCTGCTTTGAGCCAAACCTGCCGAGAGATGGCTGCCCACCATGCCAGAACTCTGCAGGGAGGGCAGGCCATGGGTGGGAGGTGGACACTGGTGTTACTGGTCACTCTGAGACTGACATTTATCAGAAGATGGGGCAGAGGGATGTAGGGAGGTGTGGGCAATGGAACCCAAGTCTAGGGCCTCTCAGGGAGTCTTAGGGTTCTATAACTCAGCCCCGGTGGGCGGCCTGAGTCTCACTCAGCGAAGAACTGCAGAGAGCGGCCAGCCCAGTGGAAGCCGCCAGGGCCCAAGGGCAGAGCGCTTCAAGAACTGCCCAGGCTTAGGCCCGTTCACCGTGAATCACACAGGGTGAAATGCACCCATGTCTCAGATCAAGTCCATGCTTTTTCCTGAAAAATAACTGCTTTCCGAATGATCTGGCCACCAGAAACTCAAGAGGACTGACCACTGGCTGACTCCCCTGTGGTCCTCCACACACCAAGGATTCCAGCAAGGGTCTACTCTAACCTGCAAACTGTCTCCAGCTTGATGGCTTTTACAAACACTCAGTCTAACATTTCAGAAAGCTGACAAACTACACATGGATATTGCACTAAACCTTGATTCACTGTTACTTGGCAGAGTTTTGTGTTATGGAGTCTCTAAGTCAACTTTCCAGGTCTTGGACATTTTCATAAGCCCTGGATGAGGCCCCAGGCTCTTGTGGGGACTACCCGGGCTGAAGGGGTGTTTTGGGGAGTCTCTGATTATGTTAAAAAGCAAAGATGTCACTTTGAGGACTAAGGTGTGCCTGACCCAAGCCATGCTGTTTTCAATCACGTCATATGTACGTGAAAGCTGGACAGTGAATAAGGAAGACTGAAGAACTGACGCCTTTGAGTTGTGGTGTTGGCAAAGACTATTGAATACACCACGGACTGCCAAGAGAAAAAACAAATCTGTCTTGGAAGAAGTACAGCCAGAATGCTCCTCAGAAGCAAGGACGATGAGACTTCGTCTCACATACTTTGGACATGTTATCAGCAGTGACCAGTCCCTGGAGAAGGACATCATGCTTGGTAAAGTGGTGGGTCAATGAAAAAGAGAAAGACCCTCAACGAGATGGAATAACGCAGTGGCTGCAACAATGGGTTCAAGCGTAACTATTGTGAGGATGACAAAGGACCGGGCAGTGTTTCATTCTGTGATACACAGGGTCGGTATGAGTCAGAACCGACTGGACAGCACCGAACAACTGACTATGAACTCTGTCCCCGTGGCCCCAGCACTTTCTGGTCACTGGGCAAGAAGCATGGGGGGGCTGTCCTCCCTAAAATATTCAGACAGTCAGAGCTGGAGGGTCCTTAAAGTTATTTCATCCATGACGCCTAACAACAAATCATATCAGAGAGGAGGAAACTGAGACAAATATCACCAGGAGGTCCCCGATGTCACCCTGTGAGCTGAAGGCGACACTGGCCTGGACGTGGGTCCCTTGTCTCCCGCGGACCGACTGCGCCGCCAGTCGCCTCTCCGGGGCTGTGACCGTTACACCAGGAGGGCTGGGGGTGCAGCAGGAGGTCCTGGTCCCGGGCTCGCCCCAAACCGTCGCCCCATGTTGCCCTCGTCCTCCACACGAGGACAACTCGGCACCTGGTACTTTTCCATAGTATCTCGAGGAGAGACTCCCGACCTTACTCCCCCTCTGCCAGGCGTTTGGGGTCCGCGCGGCGAGGCGCGCCAAGGAGCGGACCCTCGACTGAGCATGCGCAGTAGGACTACCCCCGTGAGCACCCCACCCCCATCCCGGGGGCGCCTACGAGCCCCGGCGACCCTCAGCCGGTGCCGGGGGATGCGTATGTCTGTCTCAGGGACGCTCCCTGCCCAAACTGTGTCCCTCCCGCGCCCTCAGGGCCCTGCATCCGGGCAACTCGGACTGGGCCTCAGTCGCCTGGTCGGGAGGACGTTGCCGGCCCCCAGCTCCGGAGCGTGAGGTGGCGGCGGCTCCGGCGGCGCTTGGCCCTTTAAGAGCAGGGAGACGGGGCGGGCCGACGGCGGCGCGCGGCCCCTTTAAGGGCGGGGAGGCGGGGCGGGCAGGCGGCGGCGCGCGGCCCCTTTAAGGCTTGGCCTACGTGGCAGCCGCTGGAGCCGCCGCCGAGGACTAGCAGCGAGACCGGCCGGGCACTTCCTGTGGAGGCCGTACGGGCGCGGGCGCCGAGCAGGCCCAGCGCCGAGCAAGCAAGCGAGCCAGCCAGCCCCCGAGCCTCCGCCGCCGCCATGGGCCAGAACGACCTGATGGGCACGGCCGAGGACTTCGCCGACCAGGTGCGGCCTGCGCGGGCCCGGCCCGGCTCGACCGCCCGCCTACCCCTTCCCGGGCCCCCACCCCAGCCCGGCCGCCCACTGTGCACACGCCCCAGGCCCCCTGCCCACCCAGGACTCTGCCTTAGTCTGGCCGGCCACCGAG